GGTGTGTAGATTTCATTATGTTTATCATGTCTTGTAGGTCTATATAAGCGAGTATATACCAAGTTTGTCTTTCTCCTTCTGGGATACTTCACTCAGAATGATCTTTTCTAGATCCCACCACTTGCCTGCAAATTTCATGATTTCCTCCTTTTTGATACCACTCCTAGGTATATACCCAAAATTTGCTCAAGTACACAACAAGGACATTTGTTCAACCATGTTCGTAGCAGCTTTATTTGTAATAGCCAGAACTTGGAAACAACCCAGATGTCCATCAACGGAGGAATGGATACAGAAATTGTGGTATTTTTACACAATGGAATACCACACCAGTTTTTGTAACAGCTCTGAGTTCAGCATCATTTCTCTGGCTAAAGATTTGATCTTGTGGCTCCATAGAGTTAGTAAAGAAGTACCTAAGGCTATTTGTACTGTATGATTTATCTGACCTGAAGTCTACCTCCAGGTTTGTGTAATGATAGCAGAATATTATACTATATATAAATGAATGATTTATAGATGCACCAATGAAGACCTATAAAAAAATGAGTAAGGAAGAAAAGGTAAGTAAAATGTCACTTCCCTTGTAGATACAAAGATATATTAGATAAGTAGATTTAAATGTAGATACATTTATTGTCAATTATTCATTAAAAACATTCCTCTGTACATTTAAAAGAGGAAAAGGGGAAAAACACTATGCAAAAACTATGTCATCAGAGGAGAGAAAAGATTTTGTTTTGAAAATATTGAATGGTTTTCATATTGACCGCTAAGCCGAGGTTTTTTGGTTCTGTTGCTCTCCTTGTGGAGTTCCTGTCCTCTCTAGGTCTATCTCCCCCTTCTTTCATAAGATTCCCTGCACTCTGCCCAAAGTTTGGCATAGTTGAGACTTCTGTAGATATTGTAAAGACATTAATAACACATTTCTGTGTGAGAGAAGGTCCAAAGAGATGAGCAGTAGTGCAACTTAGGATGGACTTCTGATCTAAACATAGTAATTGGTGTGGGGTTCTAGAAAGGAAGGCAGTTTCTAAGCAGCATAGGAAACTCCTACCATCACAGATAAGGCCCAGCTAAGACCACACTGGAGCATCTCCTTAAGACTATGACTACCTTAATACCTGTGGAAGTCTAGAGTGACCAAACAATCTAGATATTTAGCAAAGAGTCAGTCAAAACAACAACCCGAATATGGCATGATGACAACTCCTATAACCTCAGTGTTCAGGAGCCCTGAAGCCAGAGAATATTAAGTTCAAGACAAACTTGGGCTATACAGAAAACTTATTTCAAGAGAAAAAAATAAGAAGGGAAGGAAGAAAGAGGTGTGATTGGAAGGAAGAGAGAAAGAGAAAGCAAAAGAACAAAAAAGAAAGAAAAAAGAAAGGAAAGAAAGAAAAAGAGAAAGAAGAGGAATAGCCCAAGTTGGTTGGCTTCTTTCCTGAAGATTCTTTGTTTGTCTGAGACAGGGTCTCATTGTGTAGCCCTGTCTGCCTCTGTTGGGATTAAAGACATTCACCACTACGTCGAGCCCTTCCTTAAGGATTCTATGCTTGCTGTGAATGTTGCTGTGCTTCCTGTGCATGGTCTTGGGAAGACACTCAGTCAGGGCAGAAAGTGACATTACAGTAGAGCAGGGGAAGTGCTAAGATGTTAAGAAAGAAAGAAAGAAAGAAGAAAGAAAGAAAAGAAGGAAAGAAAGAAAAGAAGAAAAGAAAAGAAAGAAAGGAGAAAAGAAAGAAAAAAGAAAGAAAGAAAAATCACCAGAATCTCTGAGTGGTGATGAAACAGGAGAAGGTAGGGGATTAGGTCAGACGGATTGCTCATCAGGTAAAAGTGTCTGTCTTGCAAGTCTGACAACTTTAGCAATTCCCAGAATCCACGCACGTAAGAAAGTGAGATGCAGAGGCACACATCTATAATCGTAGCAGCATTCCTAAAAATGAAATGAAAGAAGGTGACAGAAGATCACCTAGAAGAGCTCAGCCTGATCGTCTAGAGGACACAGCAGTGTGGAAACAGCAATAGAGACCCTGCCTTAAGCTGAAAGGAGAGAAGAGACTGCTAAAGGTGTCCTCTTACCTCCTCGTGTGTGCTGTGCTTCCTTGTAAACACACACACACACACACACGCGCATGCACATTCTCAAGTTGGTTAAGAGCACTTCCTACTCTTGTAGAAGACCTAAAGGGTTCCTAACACCCATGTCAGGCGTCTCACAACAGTCTATAGTTCTAGCTCCTGGAATTACATCTGACTCCCTCTTCCGACCTTAGTGAGCACACTCACACTTGTGGGCACACACACAGGAACATGCAGACACATACACACAAATAAAATAAAAGCACAACTTTAACATTCTAAATAAAAAATAGGGAAGTTCTTTTTGGCACAATCAGGAGTTGATCATTTCCGCTAAGAATGGTGGATACTTGCCCACCTCTTTTAAAAACAAATCCCTGCCTCTTTCCCATGGCCTACAAATTGTGCTCTGTGTCCAGAAGAGCTCAGTCTAATGTCCCACTGTCACCGTCTTAAGAATGTTTAGTTTTGGACAAAAGGTCTCAAGCTTTCATTTTTCAGTAAGATCTCACAAAGTTTGGAGCTGGATCTGCTCTCTCCCCACCTCCGAGGTGTTAAGGTGCCTTCCTTGTTTATGCAAACATGTGATGATGATGATGATGATGATGATGAAGACCATGGAGAAGTATGTTTGGGAGGGAGTGTGATGTGGAGAGCGCCACTGTTTTGTTTCTTATTGGGATTTTTTTTCCTGTGGGTCCAGCTTTGTGTCACCTTCATGTTCTCAGAGTTGTCAGCCCTCCAGCTTTCCTTTCCCAACTTTCAGATGCCAAGAAAAGGCTGCTGAGGGGTGAGCTTTCCCTTACTGAGTAACCAGTTACTCTCGTGGTAAGCCACAGTCCCAGGCTCTGCTCTCCTTGCTTCCTTGGATTTGTGTGTGTGTGTGTGTGTGTGTGTGTGTGTGTGTGTGTGTGTGTATGTTTGAATGTGTAAGTATGTGTGTGTGTGTATGCTGGGAGTCGTGCTTAGATGATGTTTTTCAGACTCTGTCCACCATTATTATTGTTATTGTCATTATTATAGGCAGGGTCTCTTTCCTGGCTTGCCTTGCCCAAGAATCTGTCTCTACCTTCTAAGCAGATGCTAAGCATGGCTGACATTCTTATGTGGCTTCCAGGGATGGAACTCAGGTCCTCATGTTTGTACAACAAGTACTTTGTTGACTCAGCTGTCTCCCTATCCTTTCCTCGGCTTTCGTAGTAAATGAATACCATAAATAATAAAAGCAAATGTTGCATAGCGAATATTTGTTGTTATTTGTTGAGGACATTCAAAGGATATTCAGGACCAAAATCAACAAAAGAGAGAGAGAGAGAGACGTACTTGTAGAGTTGGACAGATTTAGGCATGCTGGTAGATCAATGCTGACTTCTCAGAAAGGGAAGCTGGAGACACGCCCTACTGCCACACTAGAAGGGATTCCTGTCACTATCTGTGAAAGAGCAGGTGCTCTAGTTTGCTTTCTATTGTAGAGAGTTTAAAAAAACAAAAAACAAGCAACAAAACCATGACCAAAAGCAGTTCTACAACAGGTTTATTTTTAGTTTTGTTTGTTTGTCTGTTTGTTTATTTATTTTTAGCGCACACATTGTGCTCCCAGTCCATCGAGAAGGAAAGTCAGAGCAGGAACGCACGGCAGGATCGGAAGCAGGAACTGAGGCAGCAGCCCTGGCAGAAGCTGCTTACTGGTGTGTCCCTCATGGCTTGTTCAGCCTGCTTTGTTATACAACCCAGGACGGCCTGTCAGGGTCAGTCTCCCACATCAAACAATAATCAAAAACACGCCTCCAAAGATTTGCCTTCAGATGAATCTAATAGAGGCATTTTTCTCAACTTCCTTTCCCTTTCCCAGACGACCACAGACAGCTCAGGTCAAATTATTAAACACTAACCGGCAAGCAAGCACATGAGGTGAGGGAAACGGTGGCCTTAAAAGCAGAAACTCACAAGGTATTACCTTTCATCCCTGCCTAGAACAGGCCATTCGCTTGGGGTCTGGCGCCAAATAAGGTTGGGAGGGGTGGGGAGCATATCTGGATGGTTCCAGGCCATGCTAGCACTGGGTAGTTTGTGTTTGGGAGGAAATGGCTTTAGAGGTTTGTTTCTAGGACTTAGGGCAGATGGGGGTTGGGGGGAGAGCAGAGTTCCAGGACGAAGTCCTTGGTGATGGAGGTGGAACAAGAGCCATCTCTGAAGACCATTTCCAGCTCAACTTTGATCTCTTCTCCATCTTAGATTTCACCTTCCTGCCTCCTCCAATTCCAGATACGCGTCTCCTTCTCTGAAATTGCCCAAATCAAACAAAAATGCAGCAACAATTTAACAAACGCCTCCCGCCCCAACTCCAAACACAAAGAAAAAGGGTGATGGGTCGTCCTGTGTCCTAGGCCCCGTGCTGTTCTCTGGTCATTCTAAGAACAAAAATTCCAGGTTGCTGTGGGGTGGAGGCTGCTCTCTTGCAAAGAAATCCTATTTCGTTTGCTAATGTTCTCAGCCTCGCTCCACCTCTCCAGAGAAAACCAACTGCAGATAAAAAAAAAAAAAAAAAAAAAAAAAAAAGCATGGGTCGCATCAGTAGCTCCTCAACCACATTCCGGAGAGGCCTGCGGGGTCGGTGACTCAAGCTCATGAGGACGAACTGAGAGCGCTCCCGACGTTCCTGGAACCCAAACGTCCTAGGATTCACCTTCCTGCGGGTCCCTCTCCCTGACCCAGATCGTTCCTCCCTTTGGTTCCCAGAGCCCACTGGGGGCGCGGGTTCCACAGCCGCGCGGGTGCCCAGGACGCCGCACCTGTGGGCGCCTCCCGGCCGGGCGCCTCCCGCTGCGCTCGGGCGCAGCTCGCCCGGGCTCCGCTAGGGGTCTCTCTCGGGTGGCCAGCCGGGTGGGCGGGATCAGCTGACTCCCCCGGCTGCGAGCCCCGCCGCCACGCTTCGGCTCTGTCAGTTTCCTCGGCGGCGGGAGGCGAGAGCACTTGGGAGCGGAGCGAGCGCGCGGGCCACCGGAGTCGGCGGCGACGCGGAGACAGCCAGGGCGCGGCGGATCGTCTACTCGCACCCAGAGCGCTCGGTGCCCCACACAGGATCACGATGGTGCCCAGCTTGGCGCTGCTCATGCTGGCCGCCTGGACGGTTCGGGCTCTGGAGGTGGGTGCCGCGCCTTGGGAAAGAGCCTGGGGAGGCGGGCGCCGGGAGGACACGATCCTCCGCACCGCGGAGCTTGAGTCTGGAGACGGGTACCGTCCTGGGCATCCTCGCCGCCCCCGCCTGCGGGCGCCCTGCGCATCCGCGTCCCTGGCCCTGCCCTGCCGGGGACGCTGCCCGACCGGCGGAGAGGGAGCGGGTGAGGCGCAGGGCTCCCCATCTCCGCCAGCCCGGAGGCCGAGGGGGACGTGCCTGAGCGCAGACCCTGACTCCTCCCTGCCTCGAGAACGTGTCTCGGGGATGCGAGAGACACCCAGTCCGTGGGGGAAGGGGGCACATGTGGAAAAGCGAAAGCGCAGCGTCTCCGGATTCAGTGCCCCGCGAGGAAATCGCCGCCCTTCCCCTTCCCTGGGGTCCTGGTTGGAATGGGGGCAGCTCTGGAGCCTGGGCAGCGCCCGGCTCACCTTCCCTTCCCACCCCCGTTCGTCCTCCCTCGAAGCTGGCGGCCGCGGGCGGCGGCTGCCTGCGCAGCGACCCTCTCCGGAGCGGCGCGGGGTCGCGCACCGCCTTCCTCAGGCAAACTTTGTGCTTTTCCGTGTCCCCCTTTTGTGCAAGTTGCAAGTGATGGGAGGGATCGGAGAGCTGCAGCCACCCCGCACCGTCCCTCAGCCTGGACGTCCTGGGTTCTTAAGTCGCACCTCCAGCTTCTCCCTGAGACTGGGAAGGTCCCCGGGAACAAAAGCCGCGACACCCCGCCCTCGCCGTCCAGGACGCGGTGGCGGAGCCCTGGTAGTTTGTGCGCCACCGCGGCTCCCTTCTCCTTGCTGCGCGTCTGCCCCCGAGGACCTGGGGTGCGTTGGTGGGGCCTCGCGGTCTCCCACCCCCGCATCACCACCGCCTAGTGCCAATCCTGTGCGGGGCTGCAAAGTCCTCGCAGAGAGAGAGAGAGAGAGAGAGCCCAGAGTGAGGCATGCGTCTGGAAAGGGCAGTGCCTGGTGGTGGGGAGGCTGGGGCTCCTGTACATCAAAGGAGGCGTTTGCCTGATTAAGGTGCGGCCTCCTCTGAGGCGGTTCTGGGGACTCTAGCTTAGTCACCCTGGGGGGCCCAGGATGCTGGGGAGTGTCCTCAGGGTCCTTATTTAAAAGGGTGCAGATAAAAGGATTGAATAGAGTGAAGATTAAGACTGAGAAGATGGCGCCTCTGCAGTGCAGCAAAGAAAAGCTGTGTGGAGGCTGCAGCCTGTGAAATCCACCCACCACTAGGTGTATAACAAGTCTTCTCCATTCATCCAACTCTTCCAGCATTCAGCAAAAGGGTTGTTTTCCTTTTTATCCAAAGATGCCTAGAAGTTGTTTGCGTGGCAGCTGGTTTTATTTTGCCTAGCTTGCTCCCTTTTCATCATCTAAGCATTTGTATTATCCCTTCCCCATCATCCCCTTTCTTTTTTCAGTACCTCACAGTAATTTTCAAAAAAAAAAAAAAAAAAAAAAAAAAAAGCAATTTCCGGACTAGTGTTTTTCTGTAATTCCGTGGGGGCTGTCCAGGCTATCACACTAGTATGGGTTTTTAGTTAGTTAGTTCTTAGTCCTTAATTTACAAGGTCATTGAACTTTTTCCCCTTCTGATTTTTTTTTTTTTTTTTTTTTTTTTTTTTTCCCCACAAGTAGCTTCGGAATCCGTAAATCACCTCTGACTGGTTAAAACAGGTCTTTTAAGAGCCTGAAGAATTTAGTGTTCTATTTTTTTAAAAGCCGTTTAATCAAGGAAATTATGATTTCTCTGATGACCTAAAATTTTAGTTGTATAATCATTCAGTCTTTCAAATTGTCATTGTCTTACTATATAAAAACGCGGCTAAGAATTAAAAGCGTAACTTTAATTTTTGGAGCTCCTGTCAAAACTCAAATATTTTTCTTGAGCATTTTTTAAATGGTAATTTGTATAAAGAGAGTCAGGATGTGGGCCAGGATGAACTGGATTTATTATTATTTTGGCTTCTGCAATTGCATATCGTTTTTCTGCCAAACATTTGGAGATTAGCCTGTGATTATCGTCACCTTTAAAGGGTGGATGTGAGACTCATATTAGTAGCATTGGAAAGAAAGGTAAATCACGCTAATGAGGCCGACAGAGATTGAGGAGCTCTGTCCACTGAAGCCACGGGATTAGGAGTCAGTTGCCTTTTGCAAATCACAGAAAAGAGGTCTGCTGCAGGTGGCTTTGCAAAGAGTCAGATGAATGAGGGTAAGGATGATGGGGCCTCATCTTCCAGGGAATGGTCATTACCTGGTTTGACATTCTTTTCCTGGTATGCTGAACAGAGGCAACCATGTAACAAACTGTGGGGGACTCACATTCCCGTTTGCTTGTGTAGAGCTGATAGCTTTCAACTTGCTTTGGTGGTGGGGGTTTCTTCACTGTCTGGAAACCTGCTGCTGCTGCTGCCGCTGCTGCTGCTGACTAGCGCTGCTGTGAAGGTAGAAGCCATGGAACAGAGAAGCTGAGATTTTGGTGGTGATCCATCAGGAGCCACGGGTTGTCCGTGGGAAGCCATGATAACTGGCAGGCTATAAAAACACTTCTTTCTTGTTCCCTGTGACACTTGGAAGACCCTTAGTACTGCAGGGCCGGCCGTTAAAAGATGGAACTGAGGAAATGAAAAGTATATACAAGATCTCAAAACTAAATTAGAAAAGGTTAATTTCATACCTTTATGGTTAAGGTGCACTGTTACTGTCATAGGGTCCCTGTTTTTAGTGTACTGTGTGTGACACACTAATTTCCTGTATCTGTATGTTAATGAAGATTATCAGTCATCCTACATATAGAACTGAAAAAAAAAAAAAGATGCTAAATAAAATAGTATATGTTATTTCTACAAAAACGTTGCCTTGGGATTTACAAGGCATCTCTCATTAATGTACTTCTTTTATAATCTCTGCCTTTTATGTCAAGATGGACCTGCACAGATATACTTTAAACATCAAGCTTCCAGAATGTAATGTTTATTTGACTGCATATACTTTAGAACTCACCCCGTCACTGGTACAGAAGTATGTAGTGGGAATGAAACATGCACATAATTATAAAATAAGAATGTTATGTACAAAAAAAGAAAAGTACATATTAAGAAAAAACAAAGCACCAATAGTGGTGTACTGAAAAAGTGTTACAGGATAAAAGAGTAAGGGTTAATAAGATTAGATAATCCTAGATATTTCCTGGTTCTAAGTTTCCAGCCAAGTTTGTGTCTCGGGTCTGGAGGTTGAAGGTTAACTATTTGCATGAACTCTGTGTGTTCACACACAAACAGCAAGAGTGTACAAGCAGGGCCTTTGTCTTATCAGTGTTCTCTGCACTTGCTTTCGAGCCATGCACAGAAAAGGTTTTACATAATGAAAGAACAAACAAGTGTGGAATTCAATTTGATTCATCTCCTCATCTATTCATTAGGGAAAATTTTATTATTTTATTTTTGGGCCAAATCTTGTCCCGCAGCTCTGAATACCTTTACATATATCCAAACCATCTTTACCTTCTTGGAGACAGAAAATAAACAGACATTGTCACAGGTGCAGGCAGGACTCTGGAGCTGGGTGGAGGTCAGGGCTGAAAGCAGACAGGAGGTATCTCTGGCACCATCTTAACCAGGGGAGTAAGTGATGAAAAGGAGGTTCATGGCTCAGCGATACAGAGGGAAGGGAGAATCAGTTTTTCAGAGTGCTTCTGTAAGGTACAAGGTGCTGTTAATCATGAGTTCTCATCCTAGTTGCACATCAGAGTCATGATGGTTTCTTCTTCTGTTTTCTTTTTGTGTGTGTGGTGGTGGTATCAGATATGGAGAGTTAAGCATAGTGGGCAAGTGCTCTACCACTGAACTGCATCCCCATCCTAAGGAATCCTGGAGATAAATAAATAAACAAAAGCTCAAGAATATTTCCAGAGTTCTACCTATTACATCAAAAAGAAATTCTTGGGAGCAAGGCCTGGACATTGGCTTTAAGGGGGAAAAATACTGTGGGCAATTTAAAAATAGAAATTGGGATTTTGAGGCCAGTTACAGATGGACCAATTTGAACCACATTCAGAATTCATCAAGCTGTGCTGAAAACAAAGGGGCCAAGTGATGCCATAGAGGCTAGGCTGTACAGTAAACAGGGAGAAGAAGAGAGGAAGGCTCAGGTCTGGTTTCTATCGTGCTCATCTTCTCTCAAAGCTTTTGTGTCTTGACATTACCCCTATAGCCAGGACTGCAGTCACACCCCCTCCCTGGGTTCGATGGCCTTGTGGTCTTGTAGGAGACTTGCCTCCCAGAGCACACACCTGCGTTCGTGAGGGCCTGGCCAGCAGCCAGTGTTCTCAGCTTCCAAGCCCTTACCTGGTTTAGGGCCTTGCTTTGTTTACACAACTGTGACCTCTTTTCCTTTTCATAGTGCTATCCTACATGTAAATCACGGAGTGCAGGTAAATGCTGTCTTTTACAAGTGTGTGGTCCTGGATGCTGTAACCTTACAGCTACATCTTACAACCCTAATCCTACCTCATGAGTGGGTGGGAAAGAGAGTATGGCAAGCTGGCAAGGCTAAGGTGAGGGAATGAGCATGATCCCTGAATGAGCAGCAAGTATAAGCAATCACATGTATGATATTTCAGACCCAGTTTGCAAATGGAGGCATTCCAGAAGGAGGAATTTTGCATAGCCTCATTGTCCTTTCCTTAGTTTAACATGGATTGTTTTTGAGAGAAACAACTCTTTATTATGAAAAAAATATGTTTCGTAAGGTTTTTTTGTTCAGATTTTTTGCCTCGTTGGTACCTAGACTGGTACCATCTTTGAGATCAGGATTCTCTCAACGCTGGATTAGAATGACTGCTATAATAGTATATATATATATACTATATATATATATATATATATATATATATATATATATATGTAGTATATATATATATATATGCTACTAGTTTTTAAATAAATGATATGACAAGGAATAGCTAGTTAT